GGTGTTGAATCTGATCCCCGTTCATGTCTGTGTGTTTCAGTCGGGACAGTTCAGTGAAGACATGATCCCTACGGTGGGCTTCAACATGAGGAAGATCACTAAAGGCAACGTCACCATCAAGGTGAGTCCAGCCGGGCCCGGTACCGTCCAGCCGGGCCCGGTACCGTCCAGCCGGTACCGGTACCGTCCATCCACATCCTGCTCTGAACAGCTTCATGACTACAGACTGAACATCTGGATTTAGGCCGTCTGATGGGTCAGTGTCTGGATGTCAGACACCGTCGTCGTCTTTTAGATTTTTGCACGTTTTCAGTCGATTTTTATTTCCTGAAACATTAAATGAGGAAAACATGAAACGAACGTTTTCTCCAGATTGTCTTTGAAGCTCAGCGTCAGTGTGAACGAGCTTCTCCTTCTTCTGTCATCTCCTCCTTTGTTCTCATGGTGGTTTACTTCTAAACATCTGGAGCAAGATCAGTGACGTTCTCTCTGATCGTACTGTTCTGGAGTGTTTATTCATCACAGACAGGTTCTGATCCAGATGTGTGTTCTGATCCAGATGTGTGTTCTGATCCAGATTTGTGGTCTGATCCAGATGTGTGGTCTGATCCAGATGTGTGGTCTGATCCAGATGTGGTCTGAGTGTCGCAGCTCGTCTCTGATTTGTTTCTCTGACTGTGTGCAGCTCTGGGACATCGGCGGTCAGCCTCGCTTCAGGAGTATGTGGGAGCGCTACTGTCGAGGAGTCAGCGCCATCGTGTAAGTGCCCCAAACCGCGGTCGGCGTCCCCGGACGGGTCGCCGGGACGCCTCTGCAGGTCCCAACAGTCGATTCAGCAGCTTTAAGGGAAACCAGTGTTTAGATGAGCTCAGGACCAAGGAAATGAAACGCTGCATTCTCTTCTTCTGAAGGTTTCATTTAAAGGCTCGTTAGTTGTTAGAACCTCCAGATGGACTCAGATCAGATGTTTGTCAAACTGATGATCAGCTGATCTCCAGAACAAGTGAAGCTCTGCTGCAGGAACAGAAGAGAAACAGCACCAAGCTGACATTAAAGCGACGGAGTGCCTCAACAACAGTTAAAAACGACAAACATGTTCATCAAATGTTGTCAGAGATGATGCAAACCTCCAGTAAGAGCTCAGAGTGACTCTAAAGTTGTACAGCATGATGAGAACTTCAGCAGAACGAGTCCAGACTAGAAGCTGAAGGTCATAAGAAGCTTTAAAATGACCTGAAACTGGTCTTCAGTGATGGAAATGTGTCCAAATGATGGACCTGCAGGAACAGAAACCCGACAACACAGTGAATTAATCCGTCATGATCCTTTACACGGACACGTGCCCATAAATCTACCGTCAGAATGTTAATTTATGTCATTTAATTTATTTAAAAACCAGATAATACAGACTTGTCAAAAATGACTCAAAGAAACTCTAACATACAGAAAAATGTCTTAAAATGACTCTGATGTTATAAAAACTGGTCAAAATGATTTTAAAGTTGGACCAAACTGTTTCAACATGACCTCCAGTCAGTCTGGATTCCTGGTTTTTAGCTTTAGTTAAACACGTCTCTGTTGACCTGCTCACACATCAGATGTTTAACACGTTGATGTGACTCCAACCATCAGCAGCTCCTGAACAGATCCGTCAGCTTCACTCAGTGATTATTGTTCCTGATGTCTACCACAGACATCAGGAACGCTACCAGGTGCGCTCCAGGTGCGCTCCAGGTGTGCTCCAGGTGCGCTCCAGGTGTGCTGATGCTCCCTCCTCCTGTTTCAGGTACATGGTGGACGCAGCAGATCCAGAGAAGATCGAAGCCTCCAAGAACGAGCTCCACAACCTGCTGGACAAGCCTCAGCTGCAGGGAATCCCAGTAAGGCCCAGTTTAGTCCGTTGATCAGCTGATTTATTGATCCGTTCAGGTGTGTTTCTGAAAGCTGTGACTGCTGTCAGTGAATCATCCTACAGTCGGTTAAACGTCGTTAATTAAAACCTGAAGCTCAGCATTCAGCGCTGAGAGTCTGCGTCGCCTTAAACCATCATCAGGAGAAGATCTGGCTGAAGGAGGCGCTTCTCAGAGCCAATTAGATCCAAACGCTGAGCAGAACCTGCTCCGGGTGAGCTGTGCGATGTCTGTTACCATGGCGTCCAGCTGCACAGCGTCCGTTACCATGGCGATCCAGCTGTGAAGCGTCTGTTACCATGGCAATCCAGCTGTGAAGCGTCCGTTACCATGGCAATCCAGCTGTGAAGCGTCCGTTACCATGGCAATCCAGCTGTGCGGCGTCTGTTACCATGGTGATCCAGCTGTGCGGTGTTTGTTACCGTGGCGAT